TCATGATGGATATCCATAACAATTTATGTTCTCATCTTTCAATCAACATTCTCAGAGTGGATTCCAAAATGCTTTAAAATACATTAAAACCTCACAAATATTCAAGTTATTTGAATATATGAGTGTATTATAATGTGAATCTTTAATTCCTGGTCCAAGGCATTTTCTGATGAGATGCGTGAGCTCATCAAGGCTTTGTTCCCCTGGCTTCTAATTGCTAGCTCTTAAATTTTAAGAAACCTTTGAAGTTTCTAAATATATTGTGAAGAATTGGTACAACAGGAAGCAGGACACAAAGGAAAACCTGAGGCATCTATATGAACTCTTGTGTATAGCTAAATGATCTCTTTGAATTGTTGCCACAACTGTTTACAGTAAAGTAATTTGGACATGTGTTCTATATGTGGTGACTTCTACTTTATAAAGGCCTAAGTTACCTTACATTATAGAGCTCTTCTGGTAGGTACTGTACTCTCAGGTATAAAATAAGTATGTTGAGCCAGTAAGATCCCTATATATAATTTTGTGGAAAACGCAAATACAAATAAAAACATATAATAAAATAGTCACAGCCTTACTAAAATTTTTGAAATCCTGAAATATTGTTTAAACTGACATTTTGAAAAAAAGGAAAAAAATCACCAAGATATTTTGTTCTCAAATATTTAGATTCAAAATCGAGTTGAGGGGGGAAGAGAATTAGAAAAAAATAAATGTGAAAAATGGGTCACATAAACCCATTTGTTTATGTGTTTGTCTTTTGTTGCACTGGCCAAGGGATTACTCATACACATTTCACATATTCGGCCTTTTTTAAAATCTTCCTCAGCCCTAGAAGCATATTGGGGGCTATAAGCTGGTAATGGCTAACTTCTGTCTCCACAAGCTATCACATGACAGCTCACAAACCTTCTGTGTTTCACTCTAGCCACAGAGGAAGCTACCTGATCTCCCATTTTCTCTCTGTGCATGGAGTTATGGGCTGAACCTTTGGAAGGTTGGATGGGGAGGTTTTGTAGGATGAACCCAGCCTGCAGGCCAGAAGTTTATCATCCCAGTCTTGCAGAGAAGTAGAGTGGGAAAGAGTTGGTGCCTTCTTGGGCTAAGGCCTATTTAATGCATCATTTGAAATTGTCACATCAGGCCGAGGCATCTTTTACATTGTGGTGAGCATATCTTCTAGATATATCTTTGCGGATTGAGATCTGCTGTTTATTAGTCAGAAGTAATTAACTAAAATCAAGAGTAATCCAATCAAGAACAGCATCAAGGTTAACATAAGTGATATATCTCAAATGCTTAGTCTCTTTCTGATACTATAAAGAATAGTAAAATCTTTAAGTTATAGAAAAGAAACCAACTTATAGATGTGTCAGAATCTTAGTATGTATTTAATGGAATAAGTTTTCTAAAAAGACAGTTGGGGTTTTAATTAATTAATTTGTTTGTTTGTATTTCAGAAGTGTTAAAGCTAGCCACATACTGATTTCAGGGGATGGTCTAGTTTATCTGTCAGGCTTAAACCACCTCTATAGTTTAGTCAGCAGCGGACAACAGTTAAAAGCTGTGTATGACTTCCCCCAGTTCAGGACATCTATGCTTCCTTGGCTGAGTCCTGAACTTCTGAGGCAGGTCAGTATATATTAGATTTCATTGGGGCTATGTGTTCCTGCTGTATAATCTGCCTCAGAAATTCATTAAGTATTTAAATTCTGCACCCTAAAAATTAATCTTTATCATGTTATGTTTGCATTCTTTCTTTACTATTTTATAAACATTGGTATTTAAGATTTTATCTAAAACTATGTATGCACTGTGATTCCGTGATGTATATTTCACATTATTTACAAAATGGTATCTCTGCATCAGTTTAGTCCCATGTACAATTGCTCTTGCCAAGTTATCACTGAAAATTAGGGAGCCTGTTCTTATATGTAAAATAGTTATTTTTAATTTACTTATTTCTGTTGACAACCATATTTTTATCATTTCTTCCTGGCAGAATTTAATTTCCAATATTCGGGAAAAAATATATTTGCTGTAGTAGTTAAGATGTTCATAAAACCCCTCCAGCTTTCTTTGAAAGAACTTTGTATAAATAGTGAAGCAATATCATCGTCAGATCAATATTCTTCTACCCAATGTCTTAAAATGTATTTCCATTATTTCTTAAGTTAATAATTTCATCATATCATATATGGAAGAAGTTTCAATTTGAAATAGATGCTTTCCATAGGATCTGTGTGTATCCCTTTATACATTTCAAATATCTTTCTAATATAAGATGCCATATTCACATGCATGTACACACATATGTGCACACACACGCATATACAGTGGGGCAAAAAAGTAGTTAGTCAGCCACCAATTGTGCAAGTTCTCCCACTTAAAAAGATGAGAGAGGCCTGTAATTTTCATCATAGGTATACCTCAACTATGAGAGACAAAATGGGGGAAAAAAATCCAGAAAATCACATTGTCTGATTTTTAAAGAATTTATTTGCAAATTCTTTTTAAGTGGGAGAACTTGCATAATTGGTGGCTCTTTTTAAGTGGGAGAACTTGCATAATTGGTGGCTCTTTTTAAGTGGGAGAACTTGCATAATTGGTGGCTCTTTTTAAGTGGGAGAACTTGCATAATTGGTGGCTCTTTTTAAGTGGGAGAACTTGCATAATTGGTGGCTCTTTTTAAGTGGGAGAACTTGCATAATTGGTGGCTCTTTTTAAGTGGGAGAACTTGCATAATTGGTGGCTCTTTTTAAGTGGGAGAACTTGCATAATTGGTGGCTCTTTTTAAGTGGGAGAACTTGCATAATTGGTGGCTCTTTTTAAGTGGGAGAACTTGCATAATTGGTGGCTCTTTTTAAGTGGGAGAACTTGCATAATTGGTGGCTCTTTTTAAGTGGGAGAACTTGCATAATTGGTGGCTCTTTTTAAGTGGGAGAACTTGCATAATTGGTGGCTCTTTTTAAGTGGGAGAACTTGCATAATTGGTGGCTCTTTTTAAGTGGGAGAACTTGCATAATTGGTGGCTCTTTTTAAGTGGGAGAACTTGCATAATTGGTGGCTGACTAAATACTTTTTTGCCCCACTGTATATATAAAACGGTCTGCCTGAATCAATCCACTCCTGGGTGAAGTCCTCTTCACTGAAAGTTACAGATTGTAATCTAGTATGCTGGTCCACTGATGGATTGGTAAATAGATGTTTTTCACTTCTCCACCTAGGACTGAGAGTGAGTGAGTGACCACACCAAAGTCACCCAGTCAGCTTCCGTGCCCAAGGGTGGAACAGAATCTGGATCTCTCTGATCCAGCTCCTTAATAACCATGTGTCACTAGCTCTCATGTATATGTCTCTGTGTATGTGTATCCTTTGAAATGTTTTCCGTTTTCCAGCAGATACCTGTTAGCTCAGAATTAATGTTAATTGTGTCATTTGTCCCTATCTGTATCATGTATTATGTATTTTAAAAAAGGGTGGTTTTAGTTTTGGAAACTGTTCAATTTCAAATTCATAATTGTTGAATTAAAATAAGTTAATAATCTAATAGTACTCTTCTCTTTATAATGCTACCTTAAAAAAAAAAAACAGCAGAGATTTGGAAAGGGTTAGCTTGATTGAGGCTGATGGGATTTCTGTATAATCAGATAAAAACCCTAGAGATAATTCTGGAGCTAGCCTGCTTTTTAAAAATTGTTACTAATATGAGGGGTTTTTTTTCTTTTAAAGCTAATGAAATCTTATGGCGTTGAACTTTGTTTCTGTAACTTCCAGACGTGACTATGGCAATGTTAATTATATGAGGCAGCTTTTGAAGATGATTTAGAACAATGTTTCTCCACCTAGGCAACTTTAAGATGTGTGGACTTCAACTCCCAGATGTTGGGAGTTGAAATCCACACAGCTGGAAGTTGAAGTCCACATATCTTAAATGATGCAGAATTCATGTGCATTTCTACTATGGCAAGTTGTTCTGGTTGCCAATTCAAGGGACTAGTTTTAAACTCAAAAGCTTCAACTGCTGGGGGCCTTTTACATCTCTCTCCTTTTGTTTGATGGCGGAGGTATTTATATTATTTAGAGATATTTTTAAAAATCTTCCCATTCATGGAAATATTTCATTTTAACGGGGAGAGGAGCATTCCTCTCTTACTTGTAGCCTATCACACATTGTAAACATTTGCTTCAGATTTAGGGAGAAGAATAGAATATAATTGGATGTATGTGAAAGCATCAAGGAAGGGAAAGACCATGTATGCAATACCGCATTTTGTTGACTGGGTGTTAAGGGTTTTTTTTTTTAATTGATTCATCTTGAGAAAGCAGTATAGACCAATTGTTTATTTCTTTACAGCTAGAATGTAAAGTATTAAAGAAGTTTTTCCATCTCCTTTATTGATATCAAATATTTTGGTGGAAATACAAGCACAAGTACATTAATATTTGTGCATATTTTTAATTAAATGGCTTTAAAGATCATTTGTATTATGATAGCACAGATACTATATTTTACATATGAACCCATATGAATGTCTTGAATGCAGCAGAGATAACTTTTATGAAATTGCATATCACTGATATTTAAAATAGCTGAATACTGTATAGCCTAATTGTATACTAAAGAGGTAATTTTTATTTAAGTAGTAGACTAAGTTATTCCAATTGTATAAATAATAGAATTGCACATAGCATGTTTAAATATTCCTCACCTGCGTAGGCATCCATTTCTTCATGTGCGTTGACAAGCTATGAGCAATTGAATTTGTCTGATAAGTCTTTTCTTCTATAGGATATGCATGGATATAATGTGAAATCTGACATCTATAGTGTGGGCATTACAGCTTGTGAACTAGCTAATGGGCATGTACCTTTTCAGGATATGCCTCGCACACAGGTAAAGCATAAAATCCCTAGATTTTGGTTCTTAACTAATTGAAAAACTGACATGGTCAAGAGCATGACTACTCTTAACTTTGAGATTTTTATGTACTTAGAATGTTCAATTCTCTAAGAAGTATTGTTTTGCGTAAGTTTGGTTTGGATGTAGTGATTTGTCATTAAGTTCCCTATTTGCTTGGCTCATGCAAGGACCAGTCCAGGAAGCACTGCTCTTGATCATTTGACTTAATTTGCCCTTCCTTGGAAGCATAACAGTATGTCACTAGGATTTAATTCCCAGAGAATACTGAAACTACAGAAGACAGGAAGGAAACTTACATGCTTTATAATTTTTTCCAAAAAATATGTTTTGCAAAACTCTATTATTTAATGTAGCCATAATGTACTATTCTTATCTCGGCTAAGACAGACATTGGACATTTTGCATTCAATTAGTCATGGTGTTTCTCTGCCACTCTGTTCCAAAATGGCTCCAGCATTGTCTGTATCTTTCTACCAGATGCTGCTGCAAAAGCTTAAAGGTCCGACTTACTGTCCTTGGGCTATAAATACTTTTTCACGTGGTGAGTCTAGGATAAAAAATTCCCAGTCGGGAATTGATTCTGGAATTGGAGAAAGCATTACACGTACAATGACAAGTGAGAGACTACAGACTCCACCTAAAACCTTCTCTCCTGCTTTCCATAATTTGATAGAATTGTGTTTGCATCAGGACCCAGAACAAAGGTAATGCTTTAAAATAATGTGCAAATTACAGTTTAGTTATTATAAATTGAAATTAGAGTTAGGTTTTGAAAGCCTGGTTTATATACAGTATTGCAGTAGAGTTTCATACACTATTACCAAATTGTAATTACCAAGTTGTAATTGTCAGCAGGACATCCATGATTACTCATAATTATCAGAAGACCCGTAATATCCCCAGATGGCAACTACAAAATGAAAATAAAATTTTAAAACAAATTTTTAAAATGTCTGAAATCTCATGAAATCACCAAATTTTGAAAGATTTTAATATAAGACTATGTGAAATAATAATATTCTCATGTAAATGTTCAGGCATTTTTAAAATTTAGTTTTCATGTAATCTCAGATTGGTTTTATTCCATGATAAGAATGCTGATGCCTTAAGGAATAATATGTGCAAAAATATATCATAAGTCTGAGCAGATAACTTAACCTGCATCTTTCATGGCATTATGTCATTGACCATGCTGACAGGGGTTAGAGAGAGCTGGAAGAAAATATTTGGAGGGCAACATTTTTTTTCTATTTATGACATATGTAGCATCTTATGTATATTAAATTGTATCTTTATTAAGACAGTAATATTTATGTTTTTAGCATGCACTGCTATGTCAGTCAGTTAAAAGGCAGCTGATGAAATTTCATTTTTAATTGACTGTTGTAAATTTGAAACTTCATATTTGAAGAATTTGAAAAATACATTTTTGCAGAGTTAATTTTATTTTTAAACTATTAATCTGTTGAAATAAGGATATGTGGATAGGATAATTAAAATGGGGAAAAAATAGATTCTTCTTTCAGTCAACTGATTCTGCTAAAATGCTGCAAGAGGAGGGGAAATAAACACCAGCTGTTTGCAAAAGTTAAAAACCTAAGCTTTGTGTTCTCCTTCTGGGATATAGGCCATCAGCCAGAGGTCTTCTGTCACATGCTTTTTTCAAGCAGGTGAGTTTGTTATACATTTTGTTAGATATTCTAGCAGCATAAAATCACTAAGGCTTTGAATCTAGTGAACAGATCATATGCTAGAAGCATCAACAGCTTTGACTTGAAGGGGGAGGATTCTGTTTGGAGCAGTTTGAGTTTAATATATAAATTGTGCACTGATGTAATAATGTACTATGCCATTTCTGCAAGCATGACTTGTGTATAATAGGTGGTGTCCTGGAACAAACTCTGTTTGAGATTAAGGTGTCATGTTTCTGTTTTCGATTGCTTACAGAACTGCAATTTAGAGCTCTTAAAAGTTGTTCTCGTTCTGGGTTTTATTTCAAAGAACCCAAGGTATCATGTCCATGGTAGGCAGTACTTGAGCTTAATATTTGCTTGCCTTGTCCCACCCAGAGCATGAGGTATCTGTTGGCACACACACAGCTATTTCATAGAGCCAGCAATACTTTTTTTTTTCTTTTTAAACACATAGTGGGGGATATACAAAATAATAGTAATTACAAGTAAGCATATTTTTACAAAGTGTGTTTACATTGGAATTCTAGTACTATAAAATGATTCTTCATCACACTATCATTCTGGGGAGTGGGGGGAGTAGTGGGGTTATAGCCTAAGTCTGGAAATACAAAATACCATTATATTGCTGGTTATAAAATCACAAGCACCATGGACAATATCCAGCATCACAGGAGTTCCACTGTGTTTGGGTAACAGAGTACTTAAATCCTCTCTTCTTCCATAGAGTTCCAGTCCTCACCCCATCCCCACTCTATGTATGTTTTCAAATTCCTTTCTGAAAAGAAGAGATTTTGAGGGCTTTCAGATACCTGCAGTTAGGATAGGCAGTTGCTACTCCATACATTTTTTGCAACATAAGAGTTTCCTTCTTATCTCCCCATCTGAACAAAAAACACTTTTCTTTGCAATGAAGGACAATAGAACATCCATATCTTTTGCAGTATGCATTTCTGATTTGTGTTTTTCTGCATAAATGAATTACATTTAATTAATTAATTTTCTGTCTTTCACTCTGGGGCTCAAGGCAGCCTACATAGCACTCTCACTTCTATTTTTTATTAAATGTAATTATTCGCATTCAGGGGAAGGGAGACAAACATAAGCTATTGACTAAAGCAGTGATTCTTAAACTCTTTGACCCAATTACCCCTTTTCCCTGTCTCAAATCATGTCATTAACCACACAAAAAACCACCAGACTCTGTTGCTTTGCACAAATATCTTGGCAGCAGCAGTCCCAAACTAGTTTCTTGGTTCACAAACAAGCAGTTACAAATTGCCCCATTATCCCAAGGATATGCCCAAATTATCCTGTAGTTTAAGAACCACTGGACTAAAGGATGGCAATGTTAAAAGGCCTATCTGGAAGCAGCTCTTGATACTCATAGCCTTTCATTAGCATTCACTGATTCTGTGAGCTTTAGTTAGTAACAGTAATTAACATTTAGGCAGCCAGAACTTGAGAATCTGCGTTATCTTTCTGTAAACCTCTCAGAAGGTATTCATAACTGTTTTAATAAATGTGTGATATAAGGTCATTATTCCAATCGCTGCCTTCTCCCTTTTCAGGTGAAAGAACAAACAAAGGGTTCATTACTTTCACTCTTGCCTCCTGCCATCCAGCATGGTCAGTCACAAATACCAACGGTGCATTCAGCTGCCCTCTGGAATAAATCTGAATGTAGGTTGCCAAATGAGAAAGAGATATATTGGGAATTTTAGGAATACTAAAACCATACTTCTGACATCTTTGGAAAATAATGTGATTTACTTGCTGCTTTTGTTTAAAGTTTTTGTTTTGGTATACTTGAAAATGCTAAATGCTTTACAGATGATGCTATACATAGAGAAATTCTTTCAAAGTGGTACTATGAGAATTTATTAACCTTTACTAATTGAATTTCAGAAATATCTGTACACTTCTGAACATCTTTTCTTTGTTACATCTGAACTGTAATGGTATCCATTTGTATAGTAAAACTTTGCTTGGAATGGAATGTGCTATTATAGTACTTACGTGCTATGACTGCCTTTCCAGTATTAATCTGAAATATTGTGTCCATTCTCTATTAATACACTGTTAATCATCTCCTTATCATCAAGTTTATATCAGATATATAGACTTCTTTAAAATATAGTGTCTTTTCCTACTTGCAAAAAATATCAATGTGCAAACCTCTGAGAGCGCTGGAAATCTACTACATGAACCTTCAGTGGTTGTTGAAGTAGCCATCACTGTAACTTGAAAGAAACAGCTGTGATTTTTTTAATGGAACATGTGCCTTTGCAAAATCTAATCAAGGAAAAAATTATTTGCCAAATAGCTTGAAATTACTTGACTATATACGTAAGAATATTACTTAATTTTCATAGCTTTAATTGTGATTTGCTGTTCAGGGATTATACATTCTCAACCTTTGAATAGGTAGCCAGAATTTGAACCAAAATTTGTAGGACTAATATAAAAGAGATCTGTATTATTTAGGCAAAGCATAAGAACTGTTGGCCATAAAGCATAAGTTCTGCTGAACTCCATGAATATAATGATTACAACAATACATTGCTATTAGCCCACTGCTGCCAACTATATGGTAGAAGGCATTGAGCTGTATTCAGTGGTGTCATTCCTCTGAAATACAAGCATCTACCAATGGAAAGTGATTCATGGTTCATCTCTTCCACTCCATAGCTCCAGGGGCAGTGGAAGAGCAAAGAGAAATGGACTCATACATTTGAAAAAAAAGGTGACTTCTAACTCAGCATCTTTGACCTTGCAGCTTTGCTTTTCTTTGAGAAGAGAAAGATCAGTCCAAATTATAAACAGGAAATATAAAGGATCAGATTGACAGGAAAAAAGGCTGCTTTCTGTGAATAGTACTGTGAATAATTGAATAAAGTAAACCTAAATTCTTGTTATCTGTACAACATATGCTTGGAGATGGTTTTAATATTTTATTAACAATTTTTCATTAATGAACATTCTATTTGCTCATGTAAAAATAGAACTTAGTTTTAAGTATATAACCGTAATTAGCATTGCAAGTGTCCTTTTAACTAGGAAACTACTGAAGAAAAATTATGTATTGTCAACCTAATTCTAACAAATTTAACTGTAATAAAATATTATTTAACGAAAATCATTTGAGTGAATGGCGCCTTATTTCATGCTTATCAGTAAGAGAATTAACATACAGTATTGGCTTTTAACTTAGAAGCCCTATTGTTTTAGATAGACATACTGTTGAGTAAGCATGAGTAGGTTAATAGCCTAGAACTATTTTGAGACCACTACCCAATGGTAGTCCATAGCCAAATAGTACAGGCAATTTAACCTAGAGGAAACTGCACAGTATTTCTCAGTGGGTCCTGAAGCAAAAAATACATAAGAAAATAGTGAAAAAAGTTTACCAGTGTTGTTTTGTTTTGTCAATAAATGTCTATCTTTGTGAGGAATAAACCATGATAATTTGAAAGACACTATGAAAAGTTTAAACTTGATGCTTAATTATGTGTTTTATAGACCTTTTGTCCTAAGATGTGGTTGCTGAAAACTGCAGCAAAAAGCTTAATGTTACGAATTTGTTAAATGACATCTAACAAAAATGTGTTTCAAACTTGTTTGGATTGGAATTAGATTTTTTATCTGTTTTTTTCATTTTTTCATTTGTGATCAATCTAGATTGATTATTAGCACTTGTATCAATACTTTGTATGAAAATATTTTTTGTGAAAAAGAAAAGTTTGGTCCTAAAGGCACACTACCCTGTCAGCTTTTGTAAATATAAGTCATGTTGATATACAAACTCCTCCTTGAAGTGATAATAACTGAAAACCTCATTTTTAAAAAAAAAATCTAAGCAGCTTTCAACCACCAGTAGCTGTTTTAACATGAGTAACTAAATTGATGCTTCTTTGATGATCCCTTTGCAGAGCAGAACACAAATTTGGTGTTTAGCTTTTGGTACATAACAGTGTACCAAAAGAGTGTAAAACTCTTTTCTTTCCCAATAGTTTCCTTTCTTGTGACATTTAGTATTCATGACCATTGATTTATAGGTCAGTTTAATTCTTTTATGGTACTTTAAAGTCTTTTTTATGGCATACACTTTCATGGATTAAAGTCCATTTCATTGGATCGTTAAAGAATATACATACAATTTAGCCAAGGTGAGGGAAGAGAAAATAGAGGAAAGTGGAGTCAGAGAGAAAATATACACAATAAAGAAACTCTGTCAATTATATAGAAGCATAGAGGAAAAGTCATTTCAGTGAACTCAGAGAACTCAGTCTCCCAATTTCTATCCCAGTGCCTTTAACCATTATATCAAACTGATTCTCTAGAGTAGCATATATGCCCCATCAAATAAATAAGCAGCTAATGTTTTAATAGTTTCTGCGTATCAGACTTAGAGGACAAGAGCAACTTTAGCTGCTGGAGATAAAAGTTAAGAACTGCATTCTGCACATATCCAGACAGTGTAAAATAAAAGTAGATGGTTGAAACTGACAGCACCTTTACCCATATTCAGAGGGGTAGGGTTTCTCAGTTTGCTCATGTAACACCTCTATTTCAAGGTTACTATTAGGATTCTGAGTACAATTCTGGCTGGGGAATTCTGGGAGTTGAAGTCCATACATCTTAAAGTTGCCAAGGCTGAGAAACACTGCCTTAAATACTTGTGGGCATTTCTCAGTTTCCTCATATAACACCTCTACTTCAAGGTTACTGTTAGGGATCTGAGTACAATTCAAGGTGCTGTTTGTTATCTATAAAGTCCTTTGTGGCTCAGGACTTGGGCTGCTTATTCCCAATGGGATCTGCCTGCCCCTTTCTCTCAGGGACTGCAGAGTCAGGCCTTTTTCATCTCTGCTCCATCTTTTTGGAATAGCATTTGCCCTGAGATTTTATTAGCTCCTACCCTGTTGGGATGTAGAAAAGCCACTATAAAACCTGCCTGTTTCAAATCTTGGGGGCTGATACAGTGTGAGCCCAGCCCTTTCTGCAGTGGGAATGCTGGTTTGAATTTCAGGGTTCCCTGAGGCAGATGCTACAGTGATCATGTTACTATCACTGGGATGTAACTATTTTTATAGTGCTTCACCATAATGGTTTATTACTTCTATTGCTTTAATCCTGTTCATGGATGACAGTTATATAATCTGCTCAGAGTCAGCAACAATTGGAGTGGCATAAAAACCTATTACCTTGATTCAAAGAATAACTGGCCAAATTAGATTTGGAGTTCCATGTTGGAATCTTATACAGGAGTTCCATGTTGGAATCTTAAAAAAAAAAAAAAAAACTTCTTGGCATCCTGGATCAATGAAATGATTCATAACATTTACACTTTCATTAAACTCTGGACTATTTAAATCAACTGCAATTATAGAGCAGTCAGTCTCTGGGAAGAAATCATGTTTCAGTCCAGCCACTTTGTTGATTATTATGAGTATTGTGGTCCGATATGTTTCAAAGTTATCAGGCTGGGGCAAAAAGAGGAATGACCTTTTTATTTAAAAAAAAATGAAATATAAGGTTACCTTAGTAATAATTTAAATAAGTTTTCAAGCTTTCCAAACTAAAATGTACTAAGAGTGTTTTATTTTTCATTATGGCCAGGGGAAAATAGTAACACAAAAGTACATTCCTAGCTGATTGAGGATCAGAAGGCTAAGATTCATCCATTATTTGGGGGTCTGGAGTTCTGCCTCAATATTTTGTGGAGAACCTTAAGAACAACCTCCAACTGCTCAGGTGTCATTTTGAAGATTTGATCCTGGTTGTTGAGCATGTCAGATATCGTGCCTGCTTGATTTCTTGGGGTCTCCAGTGCAGAAGGAAACGATCGAAGTGCATCTTTAGACATAAGACCAGCAACATTTGGAGCAGAAATTGATTTTCCCTGGCTGCAGCTCCCTTCCTCAACGCCTTGTAAATCAAGAAGTGCTCTTTCTATTGCTTTTTCAAGATGCTTATAAGCTTCCAGATCTAAATCTTCTACGCCTATAGAATTCTAAACATTGAAATAAAAAATGTACGTGTATATCATAATGATAATAAGTCAAAGGATTTTATGTAAACCAAGACTAAGAAGTATCCTTATTGTATCACCAAATTTGCACTATTTTTGCCTTTTGGTATACCTTTATCTCATCTATCAAATTCTTCACACTCTAAATATTTACCTTAGATTAGCTAGGAAAAGCATCATATCTGTAGCAGTACAGTTTTCTGACAACTTTACTATAAATGGAATTGTTTTGGCTGGAACAACAATATGCAAATATTGCACATTCTGTAAGAAAACATAGTGTTAATTTGCCTGAGGAAACCTCATGCTAGTGTTTCCAAACCTGGTAGCCCAGATATATCGGAACAACAATTCCCAGAATTCCTATCAGGCATCCTTAAATTCTGGAACTTGTAGTTCTAGCACATCTGGAAAAGCCAAATGTGGTTTTTAAAATTTAAGACTTCAATGCTATGGAGAGTATTCTGGAGCTGTAGAATTGGCCAGTTCTTATTTTTTGAGAACAAGAATTCTGATCTTGGAGGCCAAATGTTCCATTCAAAAAAAAAATTTTTTTTTTACAGCAGTGGCCTGTGGCACCAACTTACTATGAGTTTGTACAATGCATCAAAGAATAGAATTAATCATCTTTAAGAACAAAGTTGATTATGTTCTTACCAATGTATTTGCTTTTGTGTGCCCAGTAGCAGGAAATTTAATTGTAGAAGATTTTTCTTGAACATTTTTTGATAGTTGTGAATCGGACAGGGTAGCTGTCTTGCTAAATGATTTTTTTGGTTTGACTTCATTATCATGTTTCTTCTCAGGCTTCTGTTTCATGCTTTCCTTTTTTACACCACTCATAGGTAATATTGTTTTTGAATCCTTCCTGTTTTCTGTTGTGCTTGATTTTTTAGAAGTCAGCTCACCATGTTTTTTGCCTTTTTCTTTTAAAACGTCCTTAGGTAGCGTTTTGCTATTTGCCTTTTCCTTCTTGGCTGAAGGATTCGACCCTCCTTGCTGTGAGTGGTGCAGCGCAGCATCCTTCTTTCTCTCAGACTTCTTGATTTTGGCCTTTTGATGGTGCTTGCAGGCTGGCTTTGCTTCTTCCTCAGAATCTGGGTGTAAAAAGAAAAAAGTCTGAGGGTTCACTGGAAAGGGAGGCTTGGGAGGATAATTTGGAGACTTGGAAAGATAATTTTTAATTTCAGTTTGGGCTCCAATGTCATGTGCACTCAGAAAAGAGGAAAAGGCAAATGGTTCAGATGTTTTCTTCGATGGTTCCTTCTGAGGCTTACTTTGTGGTACTTCTTCAAAGGACCTTCTCTTCAAATTTGACACCTCTAAATTATCAGGGTAACCTGGCAATCTGTAACGTTCTTTTTTAGAAGTCTGTTTTACTTTTCTGGAAAGAGAAGTCTGGGTTTCTTGGTTCTTTGTTTGTACTTCGAAAATACTGCTTATAGGGAGATCTAGACTTTCCTTTTTATATTTTTCACCTGCAGTTGTAGTATTAGGAAGATTTTCATATGAAGGATGTTTTGCTTTGTCAGATAAATCTACGTCACTAACTTTTGAAATGCTTTCAATACTTGATAGAGATACTTCATGATCCACATCCTTTATTTCCACTTCTTTGCTTATCCCAGTTTCAGAAATACTTGGTGGAGGAAGCTCCTCGCGGCTTTTTTGCAAAACAGAGGCTAAACTTTGTACTTCTAATTCTGAAAGTTTGCCTCCCTGGCCTTCTTTCAAAAGTCTGCCACAGAGAGACTTTAGATTTTGCAGTTCTTCTTCAGAGAACCGGTCTTGCAGACTCTGAGTTACGTGGGATGTTTGCTGTACACTTTGCCCTTCTTTCACTGAATCTGGTCCTTTAGCTGCCCTGAGTGCTGTTTCTTTGGCTACAACTGGAAACACAGTTTCCAGTATTTTTCTTAACTCTTCCTGTGTGATCAGTCCAATTTCTGAAATTCTCTCTGAGAGATGGTCTTGGATCTTCCTGTTCAATGCAGACTTTAAATTGGCAATTTCACTCTCTGAAAGTGCCTCTAAAAGGTCTTGAATACTTTTGCTTAACACACTGTCATTAAAGCCCTCATTAGATTTCTCCTTCACATTCAAGGACAACTTCTGGCATACTTTTTCCAAGTCTTCTTCACTTAATCCAGTTTCTGAAAGTTTATCCTTGAGATGGTCCTGAATCCCTTTACTTAAAAATGATTTTAAACTTTTGATTTCTGCTTTTAAAATCTTTTGAAGGAGGGTATCATGGAAGGAACTGTATTTTTTAATATTTTCTGTTTCAGTGCTGAATGGTAACTTTACTTTAATGATTTCTAATGACTTTTTTGAGGGTGTATTTCTTAAATCCACTTTCGGTTCTTCGACTGAACTAGTTTGGCTTTTAAGAGGAAGTAAAGTAGCCTCTTTGTGATCATCTTTTCTGTCTTCAGATAAATCTGCCTCTGTAAATACTGGCTTGATTTTGTGACTCCTTTCTTTACCATACATAGATTCAGATTTGGAAAGTTCTTTTATTTCACTTTCACTTAATGCTTTTATTGTTATTATTTCAGTTTGTGGAGTTAGCTCTTTTGATAAACTTATTTTTTTAAGCAAATCACTAGAACTCTGGAGAGAAACCTGCTGGGTGTTCTCTGCTAGCGCCATGTCTGGGATTATCCCTTTTTCAGACAATTTCCCTATAAGTTGGGACTGCAGATGTTGACTCACAATATCTTTCAGTTCACTAATGTCTGGTTCTGGAAACATATTTGTGGTACTAGTTGTTATTTCTTTCAGTGAACATTTCTCTCTGTCATTTAATGAGCTGCTGTCTTCTAATTCTTGGGGTAACTCTGTTCCTGAAAGTCTCTCTGCAACTAGGTTTTCAATGTTTTTGCTCAAAAGTGATTTAAGTGCTACCACTTTTACAACTTTATCAACAAGAAAAGATTCGAGGGAGTTTCTGAAGTAAACATTAACCTGTTTTATCTCTGCTTCTGATAGTTTATCTCCTTGTGGCTTTGGATACAATTCAGAAGTTATAGTTGATGGCTTTGTTTCTTTTTCATCTTGCAGTGCAATTTTTTTGTCTTCCTCTTCTAAATCCATTTTTTTTTCAATGAGTCTTAATATTGAAAGTTGCTCACCGCTTTTTATTAATTTAGGGTCTAAGCCACTGTCTAATTTTGTCAAAGGCAGATCTGGAGGTGGATCCTGGTCTTCTTGTTCTTTGGCATCAACAGGTGTGTATGTTTTTTCTAAAAGAATGGAATAGTCTATTGGGCTTTTATTAAGTGTAGGTGGCTGCACCTTACAAACACGTCTCAAGAAGGGTTCAAACTTGTTTTCACTAAAAAATGCATCTTGGAACTGCAATTTAAAGAGAGGATGGTAGAACTAAGATCTTTTGAAGTGTTAATTGTAAATGATTAGACATATGAAATATGTGTTCTATGCCAGAATTTAAAATACATTTACAAATAATTAATTTTTCTTGACTAAATTTTCAATACAATACAATACAATGAATATGAATAGAATATATATATATATATATTCTACCCATGTAAATGTTTTTGTTGTAAAATCAATAAATGAAAATGTTTTCAATTTAAGATTATATTTTTCTATCTCACGAATCAACCTTAATCAGCCTGTAAACTATATGGTGGCTGAACAATGCAGTATAAAG